AAATAAGAAATGTAATAAAAGTCAGGAAAATCTAAATAATTATTAATTGGTTAAAACCTTTACCACTATCAAATAAACACATCTGTAACTCTCATGCTATCAAAACCATAAAGGACAATAACATTGTTTTGTTAATTTCCATTCCAGAGATCACATCAAATAATTCTATTAACGTTAAATTAGCCATAAATCATGCACGACAAATCTCTTTGATCTCTTAATTATACAGGTATTAACATAAAGCCTCGAATCATGAAAACTGTAATGTTAGCTGTAATTGGAAATTATTGACTATCATTAAATGTAATAATGCTTTTTAATTAAATCTATAGTCTTTCATTTTGAACTGGAAAAAATATGGTAGTTCGGTTCACCATTGTAAAATGAACCCATCCACAGTTGATGAAGAATTCAGCTCTAGAATAATAATTTATATTAAAATGAAGAATAAAAGCGAATTTCTGTAGGACTGGTGGTCAATGAAAGGATGATAAAATAAAGCAGTTCGACACTAATGATGTGAATTGCAGTTTTGTATGCAAGTAATAAAAATTGTTTTGTGTATAATTTTTTTCAGTCTTATACCTTAGTATGTTGATGCTGTGAAATTGATATAGCATTATATTGAATATGAAGTATAGATAAACATCACTAAGAATTCACATATGCCTAGACAATACAAAAATGTATTATACATGGTTTTATAAAATAAAATCTGGATCTCAGAGCTAAAAAGTATAATTGAAAAACTATTCATAATTTTAATCATTCATACTTTTTTACAAATTCTAACTGTCAAACAAATATTTAGATGATGTAACAGGGATAGATCCTTAAATAAAATTCATGATAAACTTAATCTTATAAAACTATCTAATTTAATTAGAAGTCCCGATTGTTCATGTGAAAATAATGCGGTGCATCGTAATCAACCATTGAATGGTTTCTTTTCATTTTATCTATAAAATTTGCAGTAATATTTAAATGTTCTTACAAATTTCTCAAACTGTTTACATTCTAGAAATGAAATTAAATGCATCAGATGCAATGTAAATCAATGGGAATGCGGAAGCAGTTCTTTAATTTCGTAATACTGTATAACGTTGCGATGCTTGCTTTATCTCTTTCATCGATAATCATACAATTTAATAAACTAGTATTTTATTTTCTCCATAAAAAAGTGTGTTGTAACGAGTAATTAGTCATTTTCATATCATTTCATAAAGATCCTTGCAGGTTACATGGCGTACTATAAATAGATTGGTAACAAACAGCATGGATTTCCTGATCAGATGGCATGACTGCGAAGGGCGGTCTGGACCAGCGGTGCCAAATTATATGTTGGTTTTGTCGTGACGTCGGCTCATATATCCTCTCAAAAATCCTTATAACTAATACAAATCTGTCATTTCTTGCAGTATAGACACTATGGTATAAGTAACATATAACGAATTGTTTTTACCCTTCCATGCTTTGGTGCATCTTAGCTTATATGCGTACTTTTGATAGCAAGTTCACATCCATACCCTGATAGTCGATGTTTTTGTACTCAAAGGATCTTTATAAAAAATATCAAGTTAAATTTACAAATATATACTAACATAAGTCTAAATAATTTTAATGTTATAGTGACATTTTACAAATTTCATCCAAAAAAAAAAAAAATACATGTAGAGTCCAAGATACAATAAATATGGTCTTTTCAAATAGTGCTTGTGTTTTTTTTCGCACCCACCCTTTTAAAGAATGTTATGGTCTGCCTAATTAAGTATATAATTAGCAGGAAGAAACAGAGTTGCAAGCAACAGCCAAATTGTTAACAAAATACATGGAACAAACTTTTCAGAATAACTACAATTTGATCAGGAGAAAATCACTAAATTTATAAATGAATATCAATGACGTCAAGAAGCCTTGGCAGTTACTTCCTGTTATGGCTGTTTAATAAGTGTGTGAAAAGTTATCCAAGCAATATCTTTCAAGGGTTGATGGGTTATGATGTTTGCGATGAAACAAAAAAGTTGTGCCGATGCCAGGAATAACAAGTATAGCCCTACTATTCAATCAAAAGTCAAAGCAAAAAAAACCCCACAAACATCCTCTACCTTAATATAGATGCCTATAGAATGTATAGATAATTTGGCTAAATCGTAGCTTCCACAAGTTTTAAACCGGAAACTTCTTAAAACCTGAGACTGTATCAAGCTGTGCGTGACAAAATGAACTGGTCACTGGACTGGCCTTACTCCAGATGGGATATGACATGGTCTAAACTTGAAAAGGGCTGGGCCATCTCTGTAAAGATAGTGATGAGTCATTAATTTTGTTATTCATATTTATTTAAATATAGATTTTTAAATTCAATCATCAACACCCTGCTTGTAAATCATATATTACTACTATATATCTGCATACAACCCTGGTGTCCAGAAAAGGTAGTTTTATCATTAGAAAAACACTTAAAAATTATACTGTCTCTTATTGATTATCCACTAGTATCTATTTTTCTTAGTATGTTCTACAGAGGAAGAATATAAAAATTCCCAATATGCAGTGTTTCCAAGACACCAAAAGAAAACCACTCTCCTAATTCTTTTCTAAGTATTAAGCACAAGATGACAAACTATCTATTCTACAATTTCTCTTAATTATTACAGATAACGATCTTCTAAATTAATTATTTTACTTTCTGAGAACAACTCACGAAAAGATTTTTTATGTAAATACATAACCGATAGACTACACGTATTACATGTAATTAAAAAACCTTACAGCAAAAACTTAACGCAAAGAGTAAATCTGTCTTAAGAAATTTAAAGAAAGAAAAACAGAAATGTTTCTAAAACCAAAAATAACTACTCTTAAATCAGGCTCGAATTAGCTTGACAGCTCTGAATAACTAAGTGTTATGAATTTTTTAATTTATTTTTTATCAAAATGTTGAGCAAAAGTAAAAATTCTCATGCATCTAACACACATGGCATGTAGTTTCAATATGTGATATAAGCTTACCTTTTTTCCTACTACATATTAACTCAAACTACTCTATTTTCTCTTTGGATCACATGACTTCTCGCCACTGCACATAACAAAAGCATCACAACCCTCTGGTGAGACCAGAATCTCTGTTTGCCAGTCTGAAATTTTATATGAATTTAACATGTTTTTAGTGTTTTAAGTCATATCAATAGCCCTGTCATTAGTTTAATATGATTTAATTATAGATCATAAGACAACTCTCCAACATTTTCCTTTTTTAATTAAACAGTATGATAAGTTTAATATAAGGTCAATTCTCCAATTTTATAACAACTCACAACAACAGATCTATCATGATTTGACCCATTGTCAGCTTTGAAAATACTTAAAGGTAAAGAAGTAAAACCTATGTCACCATGAGAACAAGGTATCATGCCAGCCTGTCAAACTATTCTGATTTAACTGGTCTAATCAATTTTAGTTTTCTTGTTTCAGTATTCATTTTTTAAAAATTTATTTTCTTGTTTGTTTTTAAGTCGCACCAACACAGTATAGGTCATATGGCTGATTTTTCAGCTTACTGGCAGAGAAAGACCTATAGGTGCCGCGTCAGTACATTATTTCAGACATCAAGCAGGAAACTGAGTAGAACTACCAAATATTCCAGTATTTTTTTAGTTAATTGTCATTTTGCGACAACTTTTGAATTTGCTTCTGTAAGAAAAGCCTCAGTGACTCGCCGCATTATTATTCCCTTATAATTATTTACTAAATTATATGACCTGGGATCTAAGTAGAACCGACAAATACACACAAGCTGACTTTACTGGCCTCCTCAATATTGTTTTTTTTTTTTTGTTGAAACATCACACCAACACACTATAGGTCATATGACAACTTTCCAGCTTTACTTGTGAATGAAGACCTCAGGTGCCCTTCTGTGCATAAATTCAGGCCCAAACGGGCACCTGAGTAGATACCACTAATCATTCCGTAAAGCTAGCTGGATGAGAATCCAAAATCCAGCGTCAGGAATTCGAACCAACCACAGCAGTGAGGGGCAAGTGATCTTCCTCATATAAAGAAGATTCGCAGTCTCTGTTTAATGTAAACTTACATACTATATGGGGCTATGATCCGATATTCACTTTACATGGAAAAAGCTAAATGTTTCACAGAATGTTCATATACAACTGTTAATATGATATTCATATAGGTAAGTTAATACAATAAATCAATAAAGGAATAACAACACCAACCTGCTGGTTAGCATTGTCTACTGTAGTGAGAAATATATGGATTCTCAAAGACAGGGAACATTTTGAGAAAGTTCTGTAATCATTGGCGACAGAAATTTGCTAGAAAATTTTTGAATTAGGTGATATGTGGCCTCGTCTGTCTCTGAAAATAAAAGTTATCTGTACAAATACAAGCCCAAGGAGAAATTAACAAATGTAATCAAATAAAAGCAGTTGAACATTTGGGTCTGTAGCTGGCATATTTGTATCATATTTTAATCATCCTAGCCAGTTTTAATGGACACATCTGTTACTGGAACTTAAAATTTTGCCAATATCTTAAGTACTTAAACATTTTTGCTGCACTAATATATTAAAATATCAACTAATTGTACGACTTTTGAAAAATCCTCTTTATAAATTAGAGTTTTAACCAAAAGCAATTCAATTTTACTTTGTAACAAAGACTAATATAAATTGCGTGAAATAATAAAAAAAAGATCTCCCATCAATTCTTGAAAAAAAAAAAAATATAAGGGCTATATAGTACAGGGCTTGCCACTTAAGTTTCCAAAATTATTGGAAAATCGTAGGAGACAACAATAGAGATCTCTTAATTCGAAGTCAACTATATATGAATAAAGAAGAATAAATATGAATTTATTGGAAGTCATCTTGCCAAATTAATGGGATAAAATGAACTCTCCAGACTTTCCATTAAGGGAAGCCCTGATATATACTATGTGTGTGTAAATGATTTATAATGAATTATCCAGTGCCAACAAAGTTCAGGATTCAACTCCACTATTCGACCTACAAATCCCCAGAAATTATCATTGCCTTCTGATGCTAAAAACTCACTTTAGTGGAAAAAAAAAAAAGAGAATACTTCAATGTAAGTTGGTTTCAGATGAATATAAAGATCATATGGCTACTTTCAGGATTCACTGGTAGAGGAACAGCTCAGGTGCCTCTCTAAGCATAATTTCAACACATGTGGGCAACAGTGTACAAATACCAGCCTTCCATAAACAACATAGATATATTTCTGACATATATAAATCAGAAGAGTTCAAGACCCTGTTGAAATTGAATCAAAAGTAGCCACAGATGCCCAGGATTTACATAAAAGTAATTTTACACAAAATTATTATACAGAGAAAACATATTTACTTAAGCAAAAGGATAGCTTGTCTCTAAAATTATCTTAAGCAGTATTTCAAAGAAATGTATTTCTAATTTTAGCATAAAATGTTGACTCGTCATAATTATATACAATCTACACATCTTACATTCAAGTCAATATGAAACTTGATTATCATACTCATATTTATATTATCAGACATGATACATTGAATTTTCACAAATCAAAGACGGATAAATATTTCACCCTGAAATGAATAGAATAACAAAAATGATATGAATTTTGTACTTCATAGCTGAATGGTCCAAGACAAATATAGTACCTGGCTTCCAAAAGCATTGGTGTAGAGCTCCATTTAGCTTCAAGATTTACCGACACAAACTTTGGCTTTGCATCTGATAAATGTCCACCTAAAAGCAGTAGAAGCAAGAAAACTGGCCTCATCATGTTTACCTGTAACATCAAGAATAAATGAGTATATTTGATAAAATACAGATCAATATTTTTTTTATTAAAAAAAAACAACAAAAAACAACATTACAAAAAACCAAAAGTAAGTCCAGTTTTCAAGTGTGACATATTCGGTATTTAGACATACCGTGAAAAACTCATAGCACATTGTAAAATCTTGCATAATTTAACACCAATTATTACCAATGAATGCGTTAATATTCTTATGCTATGTGAATTTTTTCACCACATGCGCATCCCCTATTGAATCATGGCTTAAAACTGCTTTTATGCAGGTACTTTGTAATGCCCACATCAGGCTACATGTGTTACACTAGTAGTTGGAGCGTATAGCCCTGTCACTTTACTCTGATGCTGATGTAGCTAAAGATACTTCAGCGAACAGGTTTCATAGTATTGCTAGACCTGTTCGCTGAAGCCAACCCGAAAGTCAACCAGAACCGTGACATTTTTATGTCATGCTTTAATTCAATAAATTTGCGTGATCTGGACAAAAGCTATTTTAATACAGGTAGTTAGATATATTTGGGACCCTTCAGTCTATATTTTTGAACACTGAATGTTAGATTGATGAAATATTGCCTCAAAGTTTATCAGCGGGTTCACATTTCATAAAATTCGCCGCCATTGCTGCCCTAACAAGAGCCATGTCAGCATGGCCATCCCCCGCCGAATGTGTTTGCTCATTGGAAGAATGTATATGTAGTAGAGCAGAATAATTCCATTTTAAGAGGTCTTTTGGTAATGAAAACTGATGGCTATAGTGATTACAGATTTGAAACCTATGTGAATACTGATGGCTGAAAATAACAAAGGGCAATAACTGAAAAATAATGCAGGGTAGGTTATCATCCTTGTGTGCTGCATCCCTCCTCAGTAAAATCTATCCACCTATGAAGTTTCAAGTTGATACCTCAAATACTTTTTGAGAAAAAAATTGAATTGAAAAATTAAGTATGAAAAATAACGAAGGGCAATAACTCAAAAATTATAAAAGGTACAGTTATCATTCTTGTGCAGTGCACACCTCCTGAGTGAGATCTATGCACCTGTGAAGTTTCATTTTGATATCTCAAAGGCTTTTTGAGTTATGCTCTGGACAAAAATTAATTTTGAAAAAAAACAAAGGGCAATAACTCAACAAGAGGGCCATGATGGCCCTGAGGTCGCTCACCTGTATATAGCCCCCCCCCCCCGCCCAATTTTCACCCAAGGGCTTTTATTTGTTTATTTGAACAGACTTGGTAGACACCCATAAGAAGATGTTTCATGCAGAACATCTAAGTTCTAGCTCATTGGTTTTTTAAAAGAAGATTTTTTAAGTTTTTACTATACACATATAGTTAAAAACAATGACACCCCTCGGGCAGGGCCAGTTTTGACCCCTGGGCTTTTATTTGAACAAACTTTGTAGATATTTACTTAAAGATGTTTCATGCTTAATATCTAAACTCTAGTTATTTGGGTTTTTTCAAAGAAGATTTTTAAGTTTTTGCTATGTATATAAGGAAAATCAATGACCCCCGGGGCGGGGCCAGTTTTTGACCTCAGGGCTTTTATTTGAACATACTTGGTAGACACCCATTAGAACATGTCTCATGCTAAATATCTTAGCTCTAGCTCTTTGGGTTCTTTAAAAGAAGATTTTTTAAGTTTTTACTTTATGCATATAAGGAAAATCAATGACCCCCTGGGGCGGGGCCAATTTTGACCCCAGGGCTTTTATTTGAACAAACTTGGTAGACATTCACTAGAAGATGTTTCATGCCAAATATCTAAGCTCTAGCTCTTACGATTCTTTAAAAGAAGATTTTTTAAGTTTTTACTATATGCATATAGGGAAAATCAATGACCCCCGGGGCGGGGCCAATTTTGACCCCAGGGCTTTTATTTGAACAAACTTGGTAGACATTCACTAGAAGATGTTTCATGCCAAATATCTTAGCTCTAGCTCTTTGGGTTCTTTAAAAGAAGATTTTTTAAGTTTTTACTTTATGCATATAGGGAAAATCAATGACCCCCTGGGGCGGGGCCAATTTGGACCCCAGGGCTTTTATTTGAACAAACTTGGTAGACATTCTCTAGAAGATGTTTCATGCCAAATATCTAAGCTCTAGCTCTTACAGTTCTTTAAAAGAAGATTTTTTAAGTTTTTACTATATGCATATAGGGAAAATCAATGACCCCCTGGGGCGGGGCCAATTTTGACCCCAGGGCTTTTATTTGAACAAACTTGGTAGACATTTACTAGAAGATGTTTTATGCCAAATATCTAAGCTCTAGCTCTTACGGTTCTTTAAAAGAAGATTTTTTAAGTTTTTACTATATGCATATAGGGAAAAATCAATGACCCCCCGGGGCGGGGCCAATTTTGACCCCAGGGCTTTTATTTGAACAAACTTGGTAGACACTCACTAGAAGATGTTCCATGCCAAATATCTTAGCTCTAGCTCTTACAGTTCTTTAAAAGAAGATTTTTTAAGTTTTTACTATATGCATATAGGGAAAATCAATGACCCCCCCGGGGCGGGCCAATTTTGACCCCAGGGCTTTTATTTGAACAAACTTGGTAGACACTCATTAGAAGATGTTTCATGCCAAATATCTAAGCTCTAGCTCTTAGGGTTGTTTAAAAGAAGATATTTAAAGATTTTTCTTTCGGTTGCCACGGCAACCAGAGTTCTGCATGGAATTAAATTCTTTGAACAATTTTTAAAGGTGACCACCAAAGGAACATTCCTGTGAAGTTTGGATGAAATTGGCTCAGTGGTTTATGAGGAGATGTCATTTAAAGTAAAAGTTTACGGACGGACGACGGACGGACGATGGACGGACGGACGCCGGACGAAAAGCGATCACAAAAGCTCACCCTGTCACTTTCTGACAGGTGAGCTAAAAATAATGCAGGGCAGAGTTATCATTCTTTAGCACTGCATTCCTCCTCAATGAGATCCATCCACCTATGAAGTTTCAAGATGATACCTCAAATACTTTTTCAGATAAGCTCTGGACAAAATAGCATGAAAAAAACAACAAAGGGCAATAACTCAAAAATTGTATAGGGAAGAGTTATCATTCTTGCGCACAACATTTCTCCTCAATAAGATCTATCCTTCTATGACATTTCATGTTGATATCTCAAACACTTTTTGAGTTATGCTCCACTCAGGTGAAAAATTAGGTATGAAAAATAACAAAGGGCAATAACTCAAAAATTATGAAAGGAAGAGTTATCATTCTTGTGCACTGCACACCTCCTGAGTGAGATCTATGCACCTATGAAGTTTCATGTTAATATCTCATAGGCTTTTGGAGTTATGCTCTGGACAAAAATCAATTTTGAAAAATAACAAAGGGCAATAACTCAAAAATCATGCAAGGTAGAGTTATCATTCTTGTGCACTGCACTCCTCCTCAATGAGGTCTATCCACCTATGAAGTTTCAAGTTGATAACTCAAATACTTTTAGAGATATGCTCCGGACAAAAATTTCGGACGGAAGGACGGACGGACGGAAGGTCGGACGGACGGAGACTATTACTATATCCTCCGCCGAAAATTTTCGGCGGGGGATAATTATCACGTGACCAGCGAGAATTTAGGTTCGGATACTTTTGCATGACATTTGGTGACATGTGACCCAAATGCTATTTTTAATTGAAAACATGGCTTTGCATTTATGAATAACAGTGTATTTATTCAATAACATACATTGTACCAAAAACATGTTGGATTTATATTGTTTTGAGTGATAATTCATGAATTATTTGTTTGTTTTTATATAAAATCATACACTTACTAAAAATAGTGTACGGTCTGTTACTAAAAATAGATGCTAGAATTTCCAAACCATGAAGTCCCGCGAGATCTGATTTGAAAGCAGACTCCATATTGGTAAACATTCTCTACATATTTCTCTAAAAAATAGTTGGGTACACAATGTCTTAAAAACAAAACATGAATTGGTTCAAAATTGATTTGTTTATCAAATGGTATTTTTATTTGACTCAAATTTGATTAGGCCTAAAAAAAAAAATGTTGTGTTTCCGGTGGCCCGACCGACCCTATTTTTTAGCGCCAACCCAAAGTTTTTTATCGATGTACAAAAAAAAATGGCGCCCGTACCGACCGTACCGAAGACGGTTTTAGTATTGCGAGTCGACAACGATGTGAGGCACAAACGATTTGTGTTCCAATTACGTATTAACGCGCACCGGCTAATATGGCAGGACAACAAGCAGCCGAAGTGTCACTGCTGGCGATTTTCTTTAAAAATACGATCATAGTTTGACAAAACAGGAAATCAAATTAATAGACCACAGCAAAACAGCTCAAAACATTTTTCGGACGTGCATGGTCATGTTAAGAGTGATAATATTAAAATTGAAGCCAGTTGTTCGGTAAGAATAAAAAAAATGAAAACGAAAGTCGAGTCATGCCATTGGTAAAATTTATTTCAAAATATAAGAATGAAGACTAGGTTTGGTAGTCTAACATTTTTAAGTACTTTTATATGCTATAGAATATAATTTAAAGTCCATATAATCCGTATCTGACATATATCTACAATCGTTGACTAAAAAAAAAAAAAAAAAAAAATAGTCCGACCTACCGACCCTACTTTTTTTCGCCTCGCCACCAGAAACACATCAATTTTTTTTTTAGGCCTTAATAAGGGTGATTTAAATAGGTTTTTATGTGCGGCGCACAAACTGTCAAATTCTGGTAGCCTTTGCAAATAGGGTTGACCCATAACTTTACTGTCGCAACGTCAAAATAAAAAGAGACATATAAAGTTATGGAAGCCAGAACTAATGCTGATGATTGATTGACAAAAAAAGTGAATTGCCCTGTCATTCTAAATTTTCTCTGATGCTGATTATTGAATGACAAGCAGTAATATTTTCATGCTCAAGATAATATTTACGCAGGCTCAATATCAATCTCAGGCTAATTTTATGACCGGTCAAATGAGTGAATTTGAGTATTTTCACATGTCAATACCTCAAGTTCTCAAATCAAACAGACACGCTGAAGGATTATGTGTACTTTACACTTGGATTTTATATAGGAAGTCCAAAAATTAGCCTCAACAGTGCGTATAGGCTAGCCGTACGTGACTATTTTTGGACTTCCTTTTGGCAAGCAGTACACTAGCTTAGCCTGTCCAGTCTGGCTTGATCCAAAGGGCTGCTCTTTTTTGAAGATTTCTAATTTGATCTATTTGTGATTGGATATTTATTAACTTATGTCAAATGTACATGAATCGATCATAAATATGCAAAGATATGTTGTAATGTAGATTTTCTACCATGTTTTCACCGGCTTAAAATTGAAATAAGCGTAAAAGTTTAAGTACGCAGTTGTGACCTGCAAATGAAACTTCTGTGTTTTACTTTACCTTCAGAATGAAAACAGGTAACTAATAAAGTGAAAATTATATATGATAAATAAGGAATCGTCGCAAATTAACAATAAAGTTTTTTGCAACGTATGGGAGCAGCCATGTTGCAGGAACGGTAATGATGTGGTGAGTAGTGATTGGTTAAAAATAAAATGAAATACTATTCGTCCCTATACCAATTCGTTCCAAATAGTGTATCGCTGTTGTGCTAACTCGCAACACAAACAGAACATCTCGACTAATATAAATGATCCGATGATTGACGGAAATGGTTCGACAGTTTCGACTTCAAAATTCAAACCCTTTGATATTCATGCTTTTTTTCTAATTATGTATTTTTTATTTCTATGAATAAGCTTTTAGCTTAATGGGCTATCCATAGGTTCATAGTACATTTTATTATTTTTTATGACAAATGTGTGCTCTTTTATGGTGTTTTATGATCTCATTTTATATATATGATTTATATGTTATCTCTTAACTGTATGATTTTATTATTTGTATCATGTGCTATGTTCCTAAATGTATAAATAAAAATAAACTATCAACCTTAGGTTATTCCTACATAAGCGCTACCTTCCAGAAGACAAACTACAATCATTATAACGCAGGCACTACCATTGGGAAACATGTAGAACAATAAAATGTTTTACATGTAAGGCATCAATAAAAATACTTGTTGCCTACAAACCACAAATACTTAACTAAGATTTGAAAATATTTGCAGACGACACAAAAATTATATTTTATCATAAATGGATATATACTACATGTACAGTCATGGACATATTTTCTAATTACAATAGTTAGTTAATTGCATCAACAAGTTTTCTTCCACAAAACTCTATGAAAGTTCAGACGAGCACCTTTATAATTATGGAATAAAAAACCAAAGTCTTTCAGAAATTAAAAGAAAAGGAAGAATGGTGAAGACCTTTTTGCAATACGACTTTTCCAAAGTAACCAATGTTGCATGTCGCATATGCGCCTTAATGCAATAACGATGCAATTAAAAGCTTTAATATACGTGATTTCAAGTATTTCAAGTTATGCACCAAGAACACAGTAATTTTGGGATGACTTATTAAAGCAGTACTCAGTAAGTACTTAAAACAGGAGTTGTATCTATCCTACAACATATATACGAAACTGTGATCGAACTAGCAGACGACAGGCTATTCTTATCATTAGTGTCACATTAGTATTCACACGATTTAGATAATTAGATTATTAGATTAAGAGTTTAAGATATTAGATATTTCAAGATTTTTACCTAATGTCTTTTGCTGACGAAAAATTGCTTTTGAAGCTTGTTCAATATTTCTTTCAAATTATAAGAGAAAAATTGCGTATATAAAATGCGAGATGTGTTAAAATATCTTGAGAATTAAATAAAACTTTTTATGTTACAATACTGCTTTTTAGATTATATAGCTACAATTCTACATAGTGTAGTAGTAAAATATAGTACATGTAATTCTCGTTTTAACGTTTTAATTGTTTTCGCATCGCTTCGTACTTCAACAAAGATTAATATTACGAGGCTTATAGCTCCGTGGTTTCAGTGACGGATTCGAGACTGTGTCTTTATTTTCTACGCAATCAAACTAAAATAAATTCTGTATAAAATGAATTAAAGTTTCCTCACAAAAATATATTTAAAACGTGCTGATACTCGCCGATTTTAACATGTCGTTAAACCTGTGCAACAGTTCAGTACCATATATGAAAAAATAATATTTCCCGGCGTTACCGCGAATCACTATTCGCGTATACATCGGCGCTACCACATAATCAAAGCACAGAAGGCGCTGAATTTGTTTGGGTCTCAGAATGTCAGAAAGGTGAAGGTTGTGAGATTATAAACCAATTTGTTTTTGTATAGTGCCACCAATGCTTTCCAGTGTTTTAATTGTAGTTAATTGGCTTTAAGACTAATTGCAACACTGATATTCAATTCAATGTTTATTTGACTTAAACAATTTGAAAAAAAAGAGTTGCCTTCCTGGATTTGAACTCCAGACCCCTCGGCCACGGTGAAGTTATATGTAAAAGGCCTGAAGAAAACCATATTACATGTATTCTAAATTAGGATTTGTAACCCTTATTATTTCGACTCTAACTGTTGTTTAACACAGATGTTAATAATCATGGAGTTTATTATAAATAAGCATGTATATCTATAAAGGATAAAATCAAAGCACAGAAGGCGCTGAATTTGTTTGGGTCTCAGAATGTCAGAAAGGTGAAGGTTGTGAGATTATAAAACAATTTGTTTTTGTATAGTGCCACCAATGCTTTCCAGCGTTTAAATTGTAGGAGATTGGCTATAAGACTAATTGCAACACTGATATTCGATCCAATGTTTATTTGACTTACACAATTTGAAAAAAAAATGAGTTGCCTTAACTGGGATTTGAACTCGAGCGCGCATACCCCTCGGCCACGGTGAACATGGTCACTGCCTGCAGAAAACCATATTATTCTAGTTAGGGTTTGTAACGACGCTAACTGTTGTTTAACACTTGTGTAAATAATCATGGCGCTTACATATATATAAGCATGCATATCTTTAAAGAATAAAACAATATTAGAAATCTTCGACTATTCGGGAATTATTTTGCTTGAAAATTAATCCGCCTGTCATGTGACCATATTTACGCAGTGATCTCCCCTTAATTTTTCGGACTTCTTTCGGCTCTTGCAATTAACAGCATTAGAGTCTGAAATTTCGCTACCATTATTTGTTTGGTCTGACGACCCAAACAAATAACAATATTAGAAATGTTCGACCATTCGGGAATTATTTTGCTTGAAAATTAATGCGCCTGTCTTTCGGCATTTGCAATTAACAGCATCAGACTCTAAAATTTCGCTACCATTATTTGTTTGGTCTGACGACCCAAACAAATAAAAACTATTACAATAAGCTATGAAAAAATGCCATATTGTTTCCAATTTTGTGTCGTCTGCTAGAGAGATGTCATACCTGTAAAAAAATGGAATAGTACATGTACATGTCGGAGGGAAAATACAATGTCGCCGTACGTAATAAAAAAAACACATAAATTGTATCTAAAATGAGTTATGTAATACTTTTATTGTCTGTATACAACATATTAAAATTAGTTAGATCTATATTATATCTGTGTTTAAAAATAGTCTAGCTCCGTGAATGAATTATATTTTAGAAATTAAAAAAAAACCTAGAATGAACCTCGCTGTTACAGTAAGCAGACATTATTCCAAAAGGATCCGTCAATGATTCTTTCATATCCCGTTGTTTGCTTGTCGTCTGCAATTATTTTGATCGTCTGCTACTGCTGGCATATAGGTTGTCGCGTGCTCGTCTTCAAGGCTTGGTTTTGAGAACCGTGAAAATTCATCAACTGGTTTAGACGATCTGCTTGATGGTTTATCGTTTGTAGTGAGCAAATGTTTTTGCTTAGGTTTTAAGTATCCAAAAGAGATACGTCTGTCTATGCTGAAAGCGTAAACTTGATCGCGTGCTTGTTATACAAAGGTTTAATGTGGAATAATGCCAAATGAATATTTTCATGTCAACAGACAGTATACCGGAATAACAGACAGTATACCGGAAGTAAACGGTATCCATAACAATTGTCGTCTGCTGATTTTTTTCTGTATTTCTCCATGATGGATTTGTGCAGTTTGAAAACTTTTTTGCAGGTAAGTTAACATTATTGTTTGAACATTTGACAGGCACGCAAATATAAAATTTATAGATTAAGTCTATCCAGTGCATGAAAGGGTGTATTCTTTTAAATGGCAGAGACAAGTTTGGCGTTCGTGCATGCACGTACATAGTGGCTCTTGAATATCTTACATGCAGATGTCTCTCTTTTATGATCATTGACATGTCTTTTGTAACTATACATCACAACTCAGGCTTAAATTTGACACATTCAAATGGTTTCGGATCTGGTCATGTCAATGCATTGCTAGCAGTTGAAATATGGCGAAAATTGTCGTTTGCTTTTTTGGCGTAGCATATCATCATGTGCTAAAGATATTGTTTGACTATATTCTTGCAGGTGACTTCTGCTGGAAACATGTAAGCCATATCCAATAATGGCACGTTTCCGGCTTTTACATTTAATAGTTGCTGGTCTACCCAGCAAACATGCATATATGGGACCCATATGGGCTATATCTAGGCAAGCCCATATGGGTATGCCCATATTGGACCTATATGGGACCAATATGGGCAAGTCCATTTGGGTACGCCCATATCTGGACCCATATGGGTCCCATATTACAGCACTATAAGGAAAAACGATTTTTCGTTTATTTATTTCTTTAGAACTTGTTTACTTTGAGCTATAGTGTGACCACCTTGGCATAAATTGCTATTATCTTTTATAAAAATCGTAGCATTAACATATATACAAGCCATGAGGGACCCATATGGGTCCCATTCGGGCAACCCAATGAATATTAGCATGCCTGAGCAGGTGCGAGAAATTAATTTGTTTAGTTTTTATATTGGTTTTAATTTTTATAATCTAAATATAAAAATGTGTTTTTAGACTATTAATTCAGAAATAATTTATAAAAATCAGCATTTGATGAAAAATTTATTTCGAGCATGCGCAGAGGTGATTTCCGCTGCCGCTTAAAATCAAATTGTGTATTGAAACGTTTAAATTGTAAAAATTGTACACTGAAAACAATATTTCATTTCAATTCGGAACATTTAACGACGATTTCGTATAACGACCTTTCATATTATATCCTTACAGATTTATTGTGTGTGTAGGTAAGTGTAAACGTCATTTATTTTTTGTTTTTTTGCCTTTGCCATGTAATTTCGCGATAGTTTTTGTCAGTTTAATTTGCGACATTTCTAGAATTTACGCCCACTATTAGGCACTTTAGGCTGAACCTTTGGATGTGTATTAGTTGTTATTGTTGAATAACTTAACTGTGCGGAGTCGACACTAACATTTTTAATAATATTGTTTCTATCTCTAGACTAAATTTTAAGAGATCCTTTTTTAAAGGGACACCATCATTTGAAATCCAGTGACCCCTTCCTAGCCTTAGAAGTTCCCTTTCCATTTTGTACCAATATTTCATTCATAAGCAATTTTT